AGGAACAGGCTCAAGGCGAAAGGCGCGCCTGAGTGAATATATATATATATTTTGTACTTTTTTTTGCTATTATTTTGATTGTTTATTATTTGTTTAGTTTATTTGTTTAGTATTTGTTTAGTTTTTATTTTTTAATTACAAAACCTATGCAAACGGCTATACAAGACTACAAAAGTCAAAAGAAAAAGAAAAGAAAAAAGGACCAAAGCAAGAACAGGGAAGTACGAGCCCGGATCTGCGAAGCTTGCAGCTTGGAGTCTTGGATCTGCCGGAATCCGGATCTGCGAAGCCGGTAAGTTCTCCTTCCCTCTATTCTTCTTCTCTTCTTCTTCTTTCCTCTCTTCTTCTTCTCGGATCATCATCTCTCAGTCTTCTTTTGTTTTTTCTTTTTTTCTTCCAGAGACTGTCGTCCGACTCCTCTCTCAGATTTTTTTTTTTTTTTTTTTCTTCTTTTTTTCTTCTTCTTCTTCTTTTCTTCTCCCGGCAGGCTCTTAAGTCTTGGCGTCTTGCTTTTCTTTTAATTTTTTTTTAAATTTTTTTTTCCTCTTATTTTTTATTTTTTATTTTTTTATTTTTTTATTTATTCTTCTTCTTCTTTTCTTCTCTCGAGTCTCGGCTGAGTCGGATCTTCTTGCTTTTTTTTTTTTTTTTTTTTTTTCTCTCTCGTCTGAGCTCTTCTTTTATTTATTTATTATTTATTTTTTTATTTCAATAGCAGATCATTGTTGTAGTCTTGTAGATCATTGTCTTGTAAATTTTTTTTTTCAATAACATATCTTATTGGAACTGGAAGATGAAATTCCATTATTATTATTATTATTTTCATTTTCTAAATAATAATTGGAACTTATGATTTCATAAAAGGATATTCAAGACATTGAACCATTGAGGATAACTATTTTGTAAATTTGATTACTATATATATACATTTAGGAAAAAATATATAAATATAAGTATTTTTTGGGTAAATAAAATTTTCAAAAAAAAAAAAAAAAATTATATATTAAATATAACTAGGTAATTTTTTGTGATCAAAGAAACCAAACCAAAATTCCATTTTTTTCAATAGCATATCATTGTTGTAGTCTTGTAGATTCCTTGCCGGTTTGCAGTTGATTGTCTGGACTCTGGTCTGCAAAATAATATTCGAAACCAAGCTTTGATCTCAACATATCTTTCATGAAAAATGATAAATATATATATATAACCTTGGTTTGGACATAATTCATGAAAAATGATAACTATATATATATAAGTTGAGATCGAAATAATATATAAATAATATTCTGCTCTTTGCATTAACACTGCTTTTTTTTATTTTTGCATGAAATAATATTATGCTTTTTGCATTTTGTCAAAGCTCTTTATTGTTGCAGACACTAATTACATGATGCTATTATTTTGTCATCTTGAATTTGATTGTAGTTTGTACTTTAAAAGATGCCTAGTGATGGTTCAAGAAATGATCCGACATGGAATTACTCACATTTGGAGAATTCGAAAGATACAAATGCCGTCACTTGTAACTTTTGTGCAAAAGTTACAAAAGGAGGTATTTATCGGGCTAAGCAACACTTAGCTGGAGGGTATAGAAATGTGAGTGCATGCACAAGATGCCCATCTAGTGTTAGAGAAGAAATCAAAGAGTACATGAGTAAGAAAAAGGAAGAAAAAGAGCAAATGAATTTATTGCCTAGTGATGAAATTAATTTCATTGATAGAGAGGATAAGGATGACGTTATGGAAGTTAACAATCGGGGGAAAAGGGTAGCTAGTGCAAGTAGTGGCAGTGCTAGTGTCAATTCCTTAAAGATGCAAAAGCAAAAGGATCCGATTGATTTATATTTCATTCCCAGACCGGAAATTGTGGTACAAAAAAGAAAGGAGGGGGGAAAACAGACAACCATTAATGATGCATGCAAGAAAGAGTTGAGAGGAAGAGCATGTGTTGCTTTTGCAAGGTGGATATATGATGCAGGAATTGCATTCAATGCTGTTAAGTATGATAGCTTTGCCGAGGTTGTTGAAGCAATTGGATAATATGGTCCTGGCATGAAACCACCTAGTTGTCATGAGGTGAGAGTTCCTTTGCTTATGAAGGAATTGGATAATACCAATGCTTTGATGAATGACCATAGAGAGGAGTGGTCAAAATTTGGATGCTCATTAATGGCAGATGGGTGGACAGACAAGAGGGGGAGAACATTGCTTAATTTCCTAGTAAATAGTCCAAGGGGAACCCTGTTTATTGAATCGATAGATACTTCTTCTTTTTCAAAGGATGGTGCAAAGATGTTTGACTTACTTAATAAATTTGTGAACCGCATTGGAGTAGCAAATGTCGTCCAAGTCGTCACAGATAGTAAATCAAGCAATAAGTATGCCGATAAGAATGTTCAATGTTACATTCTTTACAAATATATAATTTAAATATTTCTTGATTTACTCATTCTCTTTATATCATTTTTTCTTTTTTTCCTTTTTCCCGTTTGGTTTCAAATAGGGAGGATGTTAGAGAAAGAACACCCGCATTTGTATTGGACACCATGTGCTGCTCATTACTTAGACTTGATGTTGGAAGACATTAGGAAAATACCGTCCATCTCTAGAACAATGCAGAGGGCAGTGGAGTTGAATAGTTATATTTATATGTGTCCAAAGTTGTTGAATATTATGAGGAACTTTACTCATAAAAAGGAGTTGCTTAGGCCCGCTAAGACTCGATTTGCTACATGTTTCATCACATTATCAAGTATTCACAAGCAAAAGAATAACTTGAGAAAGATGTTTACTTCAGAAGAATGGAATCGTAGTAAATGGGCAAAAGAGGAAGCCGGTAAAAGAGTTGCTTCTTATGTTTTGATGCCTTCTTTTTGGAACAACATTGTCTTTAGCCTTAAGGTTTCTGGTCCTCTTATTCTGGTTTTGAGATTAGTTGATGGCGAGAAAAAGCCTCCCATGGGATACATTTATGCGGCTATGGATAGGGCTAAAGAAGCCATTGCAAAATCATTTGGGGGAGTAGAAGATAAATACTCAGATATTTTTGAAATAATTGATAAGAGGTGGAATGTTCAACTTCATCGCCCTTTGCATGCAGCAGGTTATTATTTGAACCCAGAATACTTTTATTCAAATCCGAAAATTGAAGAAGATGAAGAGATTGCAAAGGGTTTGTATGCATGCATTGCAAAGTTAGTCCCGGATGCCAAAGACCAAGACAAAATTACTGAGGAGTTGTCTTTATATTATAAGGCTGAGGGCTTCTTTGGTAATCTCTTTGCTATTAGACAGAAAAGTACACGAGCACCAGGTAAAGTGGTAAAGTATATTAAGTTAACATAACTAAGTGTTAAAATTATTTTGACAATAGAGTCGATAGAAAGATGAAGCTAAAGTTGCTAAACATCATTATTAATTTTTTTTAATAGCTAATTGGTGGGAAGCTTATGGCAAGTCAACAAAACTTCTCCAAAAGTTTGCTATAAAGGTTTTAAGCCTTACTTGCAGTTCTTCTGGTTGTGAACGAAATTGGAGCATGTTTGAGCATGTAAGTATATACTATCTACTAACTAAATAGGTTTGTAATTTAATTGTTGAAAATTAAAATTTTAATTTTTTAAACTTACTAGTTAAAGTTGAATTTATTACAGCTTCATAACAAGAAAAGAAATAGGCTCGCTTAAACAACTTTGAATGATTTAGTGTTCATCAAATATAATAGAGCATTGAGGCGTCGATATAATATGCGTGACACTTTTGATCCCATTTTACTCGATGACATTGATGAGAGCAACGAGTGGTTGATAGGGAGGATGGATGAATCTGATGCAGAACATGATCTAGTCTATGAAGATGATTCCTTGACATGGGGTGATGTTGCTAATTTTGCTGGTATTTGAGAGGTTAGCAGGCCGCAACGGTCTACTAGATCAAAATCTAGTTCTAGTTCACGGTTACCAACAAAGGGAGCAGGAAGTTCTTCAGTTTAACTTGTGGATGAGGATGAGGATGATTCAGATGAGATAGAAGAGGATCCTGAGAATTATGAATCATTTAGTGACGATCAAAATGATGTTATGCTATTGATGACGAGGATGATATTTAGATTCGTTGGTGTTGTCTTCTTAGGAAGAAATGATGTTTATGTTTGTTTTAGTTTTATCTTATATTTCTCCTTAGTTGACTTTTGTATCTTTATATTAATATGTTTGATTATTCCCTGTTGAACTCAAGTACTTGATTTACTTGGTTTTGGCATCTTTATGTTGAATATTTAACTTAAGTAATTCATTTAGTTAACTTTTACATCTTTATATATACTATTGCATCTTTAATACTTTATTGGGTGGGTTTTGTTTTTCTTTTTTTTTCCAACGTGCGCCTTGCTTCAGTCGGGCGCGCGCCTCGCCTTGCGCCTTGCGCCTCAAGCTCCAGGAGGCATTTGCGCTTTTGTGCGCCTTGAGCCTTTAACAACTATGCCCCTTGAGGTTTGCCATATTGACAGCCGTATACAACTTAGCCCTTTTTTGAACAAAGATACCCCTCTAAAGTTACAAACTTGAACAAAGACACCCAATTTAAAAAAAGCAGAGCCAAACACAGCCTTAAGTTATGTGAAATGTCTAATGTGCCCTAAGAATATTTTAATCTCACCTGAAATGACCAAATTATCCTCTCCTCTCATCTTATCTATCACACACACACACACACACACACACATAAACTGCTTAATCGCCCTTGTTTTCTTCCACACCCTCAAACGCCCAATCCATATTAAAACCAAATTGCAGGCCCTTTCTGCAAAGAGAAACAACAGTGAGTGGGAAGGAGAGACCCACCAAGTGTGATAATTTGATTGGATAGCGAAAGGTCTCCTATGCTTTGTCTTGACTCTTGACTCCCCCTTTTATACACACACACACACATATATATATATATATATATATATATATATATATATATATATATATAAAATGTTAGAGAATAAAGGTGGAGGGAATAAAAGATTAAGGGAGAAAGAGATTTATTGTTTGGCATTATATCAACGGCGGCGGCAACGGTGGACGGCAGAGATCGGAGAAGGTTGAGGATATCAACGACGGCAAGGAGTGAGATCGGCGGCAGCAGCGATGGACGACAGAGATCGGAGAAGGTTGAGGATATCAACGGCGGTAAGGAGTGAGATCGGCGGCGGCAGCGATGGACGGCAAAGATCAGAAAAGGTTGAGGAAGATCTTGGATCTGTGAGCAGGGTTGGTGTGTTGGGTATCGGTCGAGGGTGAGGTGGCAGACGCCGGTGCTGTTGTCGTTGCAGAGAGTAGTGGCTGAGAGGCGGAAGTGGGTGAGGCGAGTTAGGAATTGGATTGACTGTGGATGGCTCAGTCGTGGAGGACTTGCGGTGGCTGGTGAGGGCTTCTTCTTGCTCGCCGCGAGATCCCCTTTTGAGGCGATCTGTGTTTTTTTTTTTTTTTGGATGGTGTGATCTATGTGTGTTGGGTTTGTGTGATTTATATGGGTTTGGATGGCTCGGCCATAAATATATATGTGTAATTTTGAGGTGTTGGGTTTGTGTGATGGTGGTGAAACGGGGAAGAAGATGGTGGTTATGGAGGTTACGGTGGTGGTGAGTAGTGGTTGTGTATTGGCCGGAATGAATGGGAGATTGAAAATTTGGAAGAAGAAAAGATTTTTTGGATGAGAGTAATTTGGTCATTTTATGTGATCAAAGGGTAAACATGTACTTTCATCATGTTTGGGGTGTCATTATTCAAGTTTACAACTTTAGAGGGTGTCTTTGTCCAAAAAAGGGTTAAGTTCTATATGACTGTCAATATGACAAATCTCAGGGGGTGTCGTTGTAATTAACTCAAAAAATTACTTGAGAATGAAATGGTCATTCCATAGGTTTAGTTGTGAAATAGATTTTCATTCAAATAGAATGATCATTCCCACTTTAAATTGCATATTAAACAAAGGAGTGGTTGGAACAGGCATTCCATTACATTCATGCATACCAAACGTAACATAAGAGTATAATAGGATTTATTTTAATTGATAAATTTTAAATGGTAATTTATTTTATTATTTATTTATTTTTAATGATGATTTAAAATTCTTGACACCCCTTGTATTTTTAATAATAATATAGATATACACACGCATATAGTTTCTCATTTAATGCCCAACAGGGAAATTATGAGCTCCCAATGTTTACGGTTGAGTTTAAAATCAAGTATACCAAAAAAAACCTAATATGGGATCAATTTCACAATTGAATAGTGAAAATAACTCAGTGTCAAGCAACTATGAAATTTCACATTTGGGGTAAATTTGAAGTCTTTGAAACTCCTTGATGTAGGACTTCACGTTTGGGGTAAATTTGAGGTCTTTGAAACTCTTTGATGCCGGACTTCACGATATTCAAAAGATGAATTATACTCAAAATAGGGAGTAAAGCAAAATGTTGTTTACGGGCATCATCAAATTGAAAAGCTAAATCCAAGTCCAATAGGTTTTAGTTTCAAAAGTAGCTCTTGGTAGTTGTGTATATGATATTTGGAGAGAGAAACAAAAGAGTTTTAAATGATCAATGTTGTCCTCCAGATGTTATCCAATCTATTAATAGTGTACTTCCGCTACAGCAGACTTTTTCCCACTAGATGCACCCATTGTCCGATCCCCTGTAGAATTTGTCACTACAAATTGGCAACTTCCAAACTCCTTTGACACTTGTGTTCCATGTTTTTGGTTCCTCCACTCATATTCCTATTTCTTCCTTGTTTAGCCCCTGTTTCCTCTTTATTCCTTTTTTTTTTTTTCTTAATTTGTGTTGTTTAAAAGGAAGAATTAATTATAGGTTCACAGGGCATACCTTCAGAAATGAGACAACTATTTCCAGTACAAAAGGAAAACCCAATATAACATCCAAATCCAAGGCCTATTTAAGCAAATCTTGAATTGAAACATTTATAACATCAATGACCTCAAAAAAACTTTGTTTAGCGACCTCCTGTGATGATCTTGAAGTTGAATCGTGAAGCCTACCACAATGAGTATAATAGGCCTGTGTTGGGTGTATGTCCTTACCTGTGTGTGCATAAAGTAAGTATAGACTTCCACCCACAAGGAGGTCAAATGAAGGATCAAGAAACTCTAATTGTAACAAGATTATATTTTTACAATAAATAGCTACACTTCAGTAAAATTGATGAAACATAACTCACAAAATAGTAATAAATAAACACAATAAGCAATTAACATTTGACACCAAAAAAAAAATGCTAAAGATTCATATAAGTTTGATAAGTTACGAGCATAAACTACATGCTTGTCTATTGCTATATTAATAACTCTCTTTACCAAAATTTTCAACTAACACCAAAAAAGTAGCAGAAAAGCCACACACCTTATATGCTTTGAGTGAATGATCAGCTGCCTCTTTCATCTCCTCACAGACTTAAATTCAGCCAATACCAATAATAATAATCTCCTTCCTGCATGCAACTAACCCCAAATCAAAACCCTAAACTACATGCAACTTTTTTTGTTTGTTTGTTTAAAACGCATTTAATCAAAATCACTCACATCTTGTAGAAGAACACCGTCGATTCACCAGTAGAAGCAATGCTCGTCTATAACAGTCATAATTTCACTACAAATGTTGGATAACTCCGATTCAACCTTTTATCTGTACTCCTTCAATTCGTTACCTCCTGCATCCTCCTTTTACTCTATGGAAGAAAAAATTCGCCTCGGAGTCCTCCGAGCTCCAATCACATTCTTGTACCCAACAGAGCAAATTCCTCTCCTCAATAGTCAATTCGACATCAACCTTTGCTTCTTTCTTCGTAGAATCGTGTGCGAGAGTACAATAGTAGAAGATAAAATCCTAAATTAAATCTTGGTTCTCCTATTCCTTCTGTGTACAAAACCCAAATCGCGTGTGAGAAAAAGAGTGTTGAATATCAAAAAACTAAATCAAATCTTTGGTTCTCCTCAAAACCCAAATCGTATGTGAGGGACAAGTTAAAGTCTGTCTGATAATTTTAAGGGTAAAGGGCAATAAACCCCCCCTCAAACTATGCTCTCTTTAGCAAGAAACCCCCTTAAACTTTTATTTTTACAATTAACCCCCTAAACTATCCCTTTTTTTTGCAAATATCCCAATTCCGTTCAAATTCCGGTGAATTTTCAACGTTAAAGTGGTGTGTGACATCACATAAGCTAAGCATAAATTTTAAATGGCAAGAATAACCTTATTACCCATTTAAATCGGGTTGTCTTTTGACCCGATTTAAAACCCACTCCAACTCCCAAATCTAGTCACCTTCGTCAAAGAAACTCCTTCTCTCTACCAGACTCTCTCTCTCTCGTTCTCAAGCAGATCCTACCAGCAGATCCGATGACGGCGAAGATCAGCCGAGGAATATAATAGCAATAGATTCTGATGGTGACAGCAAGAATCAACATGGTGGCGACAAGGTTGAAAGTCTGAACTAACGACAATAAAGCCTGATAATCGGCGATCGTGATGGCGATGGTGTTTCGACGGCGAGACCCACCAACGTGCCTGTTGCAACGGCAGTGGTTTCAGTGAAAGTTCTCTTATATGGGTTTGGCGATGATGGGTTGAGAATTTTACGGTCGCGATTGGGTTTGCCTGGTGATCACTCTTGGGGTTTTGCGATTGGTTTGCTTGTTGATCGACGACAACATATTTTTTAGATTTTGCGATTGGGATTACTTGATGATTGACAACATATTCTTGGGTTTTGTGATTGGGTTGGCAACTTTTGTAATTGGATATTGCGGCTAGAGTTTGGGGTTTTGTGATTGGGTTGCTGATGATTGCGATTCATAGCCAAAGATTGTATCGAAGGAGAGATAACACTATGATGTTTGGGATATTTTTAGTTGCTGGCTTTCGGTGTAAATTTGCCCTGTTACTGGTTTTTTTTTTTTTTAATTGCTTTTCTTGTTGTGCATTTGGTTGCTTATGACTATTTGATTTTGGCAAATTTAGGGTTTCAATGGTCACTGGTCAGAGCAACAAATTTAGGGTTTCAATGATCAAAGAGACGGGGATTGTTTGGCGCGAATTTTAGCAAAAAGCACACATAACAGTAATATGTGATAAAACTTGATGTGCTGTCAATGTTGGCAAGAGGGATTAGCAGATGAAGGTTAAAAAACAACAAAATGACATACCAGTCTATTGTAAGGGCAAAATGGTCAATTAATTTTTCTAGTCAACTGCTGTTAGACTACTGTCCTTAAATTGCACATTTTTAATAGTTGAGGGGGCAATTGTTAATATAGGGGGGTTTTGTGAAATACTCTAATTATTCAAGGGGGTTTATTGCCTTTTACCCTAATTTTAAATTATAGATGATTTCAGAATGAGGGAGATTTTGAGATTCTACATTTTGAATTTCAAAGGAGACTTGTTGTAGATCGTACAATTATGATGCATATATACTTTAACTTGGGTATTTGTATTATACAGTTGAGTTTAACCATGGTTAAGTTCATTACTCTCATGCCTAAAACGACGCAGCTGGAGGGACGAAATAACAACATGGAAAAATATACGTCAAGTAATTATACAGGAGACATAGATGGATCGATCTCCCACAGATTACTTAGATCGATCGATCTTGTCAATGAATAGGAGCAGAAATAACTACGTCAAGTAATTATACAGAGACAGTAGGACAATTCATTTAAGAGGATTCACTCCCGCAGACTACCTAGATCGATCTTGTCAGTGAATGGGAGTAGTCATAACATGCATCCACAAAGAAATACCTTTTGACTTTAAATTTAAAATTCCTAAATTAGTCAACTCAAGGCTTAAATATGCCACCTCATTTAACAAAATAAAATACACTTGCAATTTGTTTCCTTTTGAAGTAGCTCAACCTATTTGACGCCATTTTACTGCTTTGTTTTCTCTCTTAAAATAGGCAATCATGATATCGAAGAGTCAACGAGGGAGCCACCAGTTGATCACCAACTTTAACCATAAACATGATATCCCTTTCCCTGTATTGATCCATCCATCTATCTATCTATCTATCTATATATATATGATTAATACTATCATGAACAAATTGAAGTAAATTAAGATGCTAAAAATGAAGTTTGGAGCATGGTGTATGATTGGCATACTAGTAGCGTTGGCAATTCTAGTCCCAGAGGGATGGGCTCAGGAAGAATCGTGTGTTAACCAGCTTATCCCTTGCCTGAACTATCTTAACGGGATGGGTGAGCCACCAGATAATTGTTGCAATCCTCTGAAATCGGTGATAAAGTCGAACCCTGAATGTTTGTGCAGTATGATAAGCATCAAAGGCACCAATGAAGCTGAGAAGGCAGGCATCAATGTTACTGAGGCCCAGCAGTTGCCTGGCAGATGCGGACAACATGTTAACCCCATCTCCTGCCTCACGGTCACAGGTATATTTATATATATATATATATATACACATATTCCATTGATCAGAAAATAACACTTGAATTAATTGATTAATTCTGTGTAACTTATATGTTTTAGGTTCGCCTGATTCCAAAAACTCGGTTCCACATTCAGAAAGCTTCTCATTGTCATCTCCAAACATGAGAATATCTGCCGCTGTATCAATCATTATTCAGGTCCTGTTTCAGGTTGTTGATATTTGATCATGTACTTCTTTCTATCATTGAGCTCTCAGCTCTTACACTTTTTGTTGCTTTCAATCTGTACCCTTCGATCTCAATACAATACCTATTAATTCCGGGTTTTTTTTTATTTTTTCCCCCTCTTTTTTGGAATTGTCGTCAGAGTCTATACTAGTGTTGACCAGTCCTGAAGCTGCTTTTTGTTGGGCAGGCAGACAAATTTATTCATTTTTTTGGGGAAGTTCAGACAAATTAATTTATACTAGCTATTTCAACTTTTCAAAAAGAAAAAAAGAAAAAAAAAAAATTACTCAGGGAGATTTTTTTATTTATTTTATTAGAGGGACATGGTTGGTACCGACACAGGCATGCATATTGGACGATCCATGCTGGAAATCAGCTTCTCATGGTTCCTCTATAGTCTATACTGGGGACTTGAAAGTTATGTAATCGGACAACAGTTTCCAAAGTTTAAAGTCCCGAAATTAGGCAGGAAATTAGCTGTACATCAGGTTTGTATTTCATTATGTGTGTGAACAGCCTGTGTGGTTAGATTTCATTCCCATGATCCCTCCTGTCCGCGACATTCTAAACTACCTGTGACTGTTGAGCCACGCAGGAATTGAATTACAAGCAAGAAAACTAGATTCACACCATCAACACCAACAATGCGGCCTTCGACCACTGCCCCGTCACCACACGGCCGCCACCTTCTACTGCTGCCACCGTCACCGCCACCTCCACTGCCACACCGCCACCATCCCATCACCGTTGTTTTCCACCCCACCACACCGCATCCACAGCAACCATCACTGCAGCCACCACCTTCTTCCACCACCACGTACCATCCCCACCACAACCACCGCAGGCCAAAATAATCTTAGGTACCTTCCCCATCCATTTCATTTCCATTCTGCAGGCCAAAATAGGCCTTCTATTATCTACTTCCACAATTTTTCCACGTCTAAAATTCAGTTCCTGAATCTAACTGTTGCCAAGATTACCTTAGGTACATGACCTAAAAAAATATATCTTAGGTACATGAAGATTTAACATACAATGGAAACATTAAAAAAAAAAAATTCTAATTATTATAAAGAGAGTTTGATGAAGTCATAAATACAAAGATGCTACTCTAAATCGACCTGAGATGTAAACAAAATCATCTGCAGCCATTCAGTGAAACCTTTCATAATAAATCACATGATGATCGACTGGATAAGAAAATAAGGTTGGTTTGAATAGACATCAGTTGCATCTCAAAATATAGGCTACTAAAGAATCCTTTCATCCTATATGTTTCGACTTTTGAGTCAACAGATCAAAATTTTCTTTTCGCCAGACATAGAGGGAGTTTCATATGAAACAAAGGCAAGGATGATGATGATGAGAGGGAGCTTCCTGATTGAAAACACAAAGAGCACAGAATTCCACTGAGAATTATCAGCCGCCTTTTAGCCATTCTTGGAAATAGGACTGCATCTTTTCACGATTAGCAGCATTACCAACATTGACAGTAGGAATTATCTTGTCAGGCCTCAGAAACTGAAAAAGGTAAGGCCGATAATTAGTCATGGATGACTACATCAACCACGCACATTAAGGATGAAGGCGTGCATTTTCTAAATGACTATATTTTAAAGAAGACAAGGGCCACTGCTACGTGCAATAGTAAAAGCTGGGGCCTGTCACCAATATTCCTCTAAGAGCACCGGTAGTCAGTAATAACACTTGATAATGGCCTTTTAGTAGAATTTTAAAAAACATTTAGAGTATCCTAATCAAACCTGAACAAATTCTTGCAGTTCTGTGAAGCTGGAGTGCTCACTATATGGAACTCCTGCGAAATAACAACAAAATGATTGTATGTTAACCCCCAATAACTAGGACTGTTAAGAAAATCTGAGAAAGTCCTTAAGAAAAAGATACTCGGATACAACAGACACCATATTATAATCAATCTTCAAACTACTAAAAAGAAAGTTAACTCTTGATGTAAAGCATCATGTTAGGTCTATATACAGACAAAAAGGAATTCCTGGAGCATCGGTTCACGTGCTTTGTTTCATATCTAATGGTCAAATCCAAGATGACGAAAAAATTCATACTCAAAATCCTACAATCTCACCGTAGATTGTGACAATGCCTTTGGATCTGGGTTTTATTAGATCCAGGTGGCTGCCAATAGCCTCAGAGTAAGTCCAACCTGAGGAAGAAGTACTTCGGGGTTTTAGCATTCTCCTGCACTTAAGCAAGGGTGGCTTCCAGATAAATTACGAGGTCAATGTGAGTCCATAGCACATAGATGTCTCTCACCTGTAGGCCGAAATGCCAAAACTGCTGTGTATTGATTCATGTACGTCTTCAAGTAATTTTCCAGGATCTGAAGAACAAAAAAGGCAATCATTTTATTTAACAACAGAATACTTCAATAGAAGAAAAACAGGGGCCATTCATAGCAAACCTGGAATTTAAGTGATGATATAGGCAGAACATGCAGAGGTGTATCCTTCCCATTTGAACACAGATTCCCAGAAAGTTCAGTCCAACCCAAGGACTGTAGAACACGCCTCCTCAGAGCATTTGCATAAATTTTAACCTAAAGGATTTACAAAGAAGGTAATTACTGCCTAGGTCTTATATCCATCTTATTTCAGTCTATGAAACAAATTTCATATATAGAACATATTTCAACAGTAGGGGTTATGTCTTTTGGTGATTAGTACTTTTTAATGGCATTTAATTTCTCAAAAAAACCTAATATCAATAAGATTGAACAAAATAAATCTGTGAAGTCTAAACCCATTTGGATTTTGTCTATTGTAAATGTGACAAAATCTGGCAAAATTATCAACAACCAAATAAATCTGTGAAGTCTAATCCCATTTTGAATTTTGTCTACTATAAATATGACATATATTGGCATAAACATCAACATGGTCATCCCTCTTTCCTTGCTGTTGCAATATTACGAGCCTATAATGTATTTATGAGCTTCCAGTGAGCTTTTTCCACCAAGCTAAGTAACAAAATTCATGTAATAACCACAAAAATATATAAATCCTTCAACAGAACAAAAATTAATAAATAAAGATGAAGAGAAACCATCATACCCCTAGAGCCTTGGAAATCGCAAGATATACACATTCTTTCCCAAGGCTATACGCCCCAACAATGACCAGAGTTTTGGGTTGCTTCATAAGGCAGTTCTTAGTGACTCCAACAACAAAACTCAGTACATCTTCTTTGGAAGGAAACCTGGACCAACATATCAAAATATTTAGAGCAATATGAAACTAATTTGAAGAAGTAAAGTCAGAAGATCATACACTTTTACCTGTACTTCGGGTTGCAATATGTCGTGTCAAGGTAAAGCACATTGACTCTTTGGTTCACAAGAAGGGGATAAATGTGCATAAGTTTAGAAGCTCTGAAGTCTCCAGTGTGCAAATAACATTGTCCATTCGGAAGACGGAAGTGAATGAGAGCTGCACCTGGGCAGTGATTAGCTTCTAGCATTGTCATCCTGATTCCTTCAATGAGGTATTCTTTACCAAATTCCACAGGGAATAGGAATCTGCAAATGGAGAATGATGAAAAGCAAATTTCAATGTGGGCTTAAGTAGAGCCTGAGGCAAGGAAAGAAAGTGAGAAAATGAAAATTGTTACGATAAACGCAACGAACTCAAATTGAACCAAGAATCGCGACAGAAAAGTAAACACACCACACAAAGAACACAAAGATTTATATGTGATTTGGCAACAGCCTATGTCTACGATTGGGATCCGACGAAAGTTTTCACTATATATAAAATTGAAGATTACAAGTTTTCAGCCCCACTCTGTTTCTGTACGAATTTCAGAGTCTCTCTCTTACCCCACTCCAAACCCTAAGCTCCCTTATATATCGGGTTACAAGAGACTAATTAGGGTTCACGGCCCATGAACAAAACGAGTCAAAAATTTTCCGACCCAACACCAAATTCGGGCTATAACAACACAAAAATAGATAACCATAAAATAGTTAAAAAGTTAATTACCCCAAAATAAAATAAAATAAAATGCAACAAAAGTAAATGGTATTTGCTGCATAAGCAGTAAGTGCAACCACTGAGAAAGGACTTCTTACATAGGATCTACCGATAAACACATGCTGACCAAGCGAGCAGTGAGAGAGGTGCAGTAGATAGGACCATGTGACCATCTCTTGCTCAAGCCACGATAGTGATCAGCATGGAAGTGGCTAAGGATAAATGCAGAGCAGCCTTCAATGCGACCATAGCAGAATGCATCGACAGTGAAGGGTGTCCCTGTGTGACCAAGAGGATCCAATAAGAGCAGAATAACATGTAATTTATAGTAAATTACAGAGAAAACACAAGCTAATGGCACAGCAATGTGAGTGATTTAGTTGTCCATTAAAGCCACCTAAATGATTGTGTTTGCAGATGAATAGTATTGAAATCTTAATGCCGATACACCTGTAACAACAACATATGAGGTCCGATAGAGTTATAGTGGCATTTTGGAAATTTTGTGGGTATTATTATTATTTTTCTTTTAATTTATTTGCAGTTATCAAATTGTCCCTTTTAATTACTTTGAAAAGACAATTAATTTGGGATATATAAAAAGAAAAAAATGGACTAATAATAAGAGACGGAGGGAGTACTTATTTCCTATAGAAACCAATGGGATGAGTTTTATGTATGAAATATGAACTACATTCAATACAAAATGAAGTGGAAACTTTCCAAAGCAAATCTAATAAAAAAACAGATAAGAAAAGTAAGTGGTTCTGCAATGCTGGGCAACATGAAATGGGGATCTGAATCTTACTACCACATGGTATACTAAAATAGAATGGAAGAAATCTTCACCAAAAAACCAGACTATGTAATCTGTCTGCCCAAGTTTATGGATCGAAATCGTAGATGATTAAGAAAAAGGATCGCCTACAAAAATGAATCGAGTGTGACCAATATCTTGGGTAGGTTTTGAGAGCAAAAATGATACTCATTATAAGATGGGATGGATGAATTTAATAATCAAATCAAATAGTAAATAGAAAAAGGGAAACAGGGCTGACAAACCAGGGATTTTCTTATAGAAGGGGCAAACACGGGGCTGCTGACCGTATTTATGGGCAAATTCAGAAGAATTACCACCACCACCACCACCACTGCTTTTATTAATCTTTCCCATAATAGGAGGGAGAAGATGAGGTTGTTTCGATTTCATCATTCCAGAGAGAAGGGTAGATGACGTGGTGGAGGGTTTGTTCTTCATATTCATATCCTTCTGGAAGCCCCACATGTGGAATAGAGTAGTTTGTTTGAGGCTGTTCGTCCCCTTGTTCTTTTTGGAATCAATTTGTTGTTCGCATGGATTTTGGTTGTTGTTCTCTTCAACTTCAACAATATTACCAGTAGTATTTGTATTTGTGTTTGGTAACAAGCAAGACCAATCCATTCCACATCGGTAGAAATTAGCGGCGAAACTTTCTTCTTGCTCGGCAGTTGCAATCTCAATTGCATCCTTACCGCCATCGTCCTCAGGCTCCTCAGATGAAAGCTGGAAAGGCAGAAACTCGTTGTCGTCACAATCATAATCATAACATTTGTGGGTTGCAAATGCAACTCTCTCCTCTTCCGTTACGCTCTCCTTCCCCTTCATTTTGATTTGATCTTGAAAAAAAGAAACTAGTCTAGGAGGATTTATTTGCTGCAAACACCACTTGGTCTACTCATTTGGTTGGTGAGTATCATCATGTCGCGGCTAATGTGCTACAATCATAAATGCACACAATGATTTGTAATTACAAAATCCAAAAAATAATAAATAAAGATAATAATTTTATATGAAATAAGTCCCGTAACCCTTTTATTTTTTTTATTATCACTTTTTAAATTTTGTAATTACCTATTATTTGTGCATTTGTGAGTGAACTATTTGTGCATTTGTGAGTAGCCTACATCAATGATTAGTAAGAATGACCTACTCACATAAGTAGGAAGTCTTGTCCAAAATATTAAAATCATAAAATTCTAGCTACATTTAAATATGTCATAAAATCTTATCATTTTGTCTCTATATTGGTGTCCAACCGGACTAGAACCACGATGATTCAATAAAAACCCTAAACTAATCCCAAGGATTCCCTGAGTAAGAACCATTGGATCATCACTTATTATATGAATAGATATAATGACTAAAAATCCAAAGAAACATTTGTCTTTTGGTCAAAATAAGCATAAACAGTAGTTTAAAAGAATAAAAATCTTTCGATTTATAAATTAGGGACAAAATAATAAATGGGATATATGATTGGTCATATAATCGTGGTTACATAGATGCTTTTTATGCAGCATTTTTAACTGGAGGTATAAGAGGATTGACTAAATTAATTCATTTTTCCTTTTTGTTTTTACTTAACTTAAGAGAATACAAAAAAACTTCTTTTTTTTCATCGCACAACGAATGATTTTTAAAATCATAGGATTTTTTTTTTATTTTTTGTTTTATTCATGAAAACTATCTAGAAAAATAATTAGATAGAATAAGTTCGACCTTGTCAACTGATAGTGAAAGAACAAAATCGGGGTAAATACCAATACCTATGACAGGTAAAAAGATAGAGATCGAAACAAATAACTCTCGCGGTCCAGAATCAAAAAAATAAGAGTTTGGAGCATTAAATAACTTGTATCCATAGAACATCTGACGTGACATAGATAATGAATAAATAGGAGTTAATATCATCCCAATTGCCATTACAAAAGTAATTAGTATTTTTGTCATTAAAAGATACTTTTGGCTGGTAATTAATACCCCGTTCTATTCAATATCTCTATGGGGTAAAGTAGGCTCGAAAACAATTAACAAAAATTTTCGCTTATTAACTTTATTAACAATGAATAATAATGAAAGTGCTTCGTTTTTTTCAAAGAAGACATATCGAATTGAGGAGAATATAAGAAAGATGACACGAACCTTTATTACTATTTTTTATTGAGTTGTTAAATGAGAAAATTACCTAATGATTTTTTGTTAAATTAAAAATTAAAAATTATTTTTTACAAAATTACAAAAACACCCTTTAATCTTCTTCTTCACCCATCTTTCTCTATAGAATAGACACCACTATGATAAAGTGACAAAAAGAAGTGCTAAGAAGGGGAAAGTAGAGCCCAAACAAACTTGGAAATGGAATTGGAAACCAAAAGGCATATTCAAAGCGTATTAGGGTTCTTTCTGGGTTTTGGTTCTATATACGAGCATGTGTGTATGTATAAATTAGGGTTTTCTCTTTTGATCCATATACGAATCTATTCTTATGCAAACGAGAGATCGATTTATCGGCAAATCAATCAATGGCAAATGAGGGCACAAAATTTACAGGTATTGTGCGTTGGTTCAACAACAAAAAGGGCTATGGTTACATCAAACCAGATGATGGCGACAAAGATCTCTTCGTTCATCAATTGGCGATCGAATTCGACTATGTTTCAAACCCTCAAAGAAGGTCAGGTGGTCAAGTTTTTGATTGTCTTGTAGAATGGATCGCACCAAGGCCGTTGGCGTGATCAGTCCAAATGGCACTTCTCTTGATTAGATCAAGAAAAAGAGTTATGGACGTTATTGGTGGCTATGTTCGTCAGTGGCGGTGATGGTGGCTTTGTCTATCAGCGGAGGTGATAGTGGTTTTGTCCATCGGTGACGATGATGGTGGCTATGTCGCTAGTCAAAGATTCAACCACAAGTGACCAACCGATCGAAAAATACCATCAACAACGGTGATGATGGCTATGTCTGTCGACGGCGGTGATGCTCCAAATCCTCCTCTCTAATGGATTCTCTATAGGTCTGTTTTAGAGAAAGGGGTGAGAGTTTTAGAGAGAAAAGAGGGTGAAGAAGAAGATTAAAAGGTATTTTTATAATTTAAAAATAATAATTTTTAGTTTTTAATTTAACATTAAATAGTAAGGTCAAATTTGTCATTTTATAGCTTGGTTAACGGGTCAGATACAGACATTGGGGCAATGTGATCACTTCTTAAAGTGTAAGGAGTTTTCTGAAATAAATTGGGGGTTTGTGATTAAATTTTGAAAGTAGTGGGGGTTTTATGATTTTAACCCTAATAATTATGTTAAGTTGGGAGAAATTATTTATTATTATCCGCCAATAATTTTGATTTGACTGGCAATCAATCTTCTCCAGTATGTCATTCATCCGGGTCCGTTTTGTGCATTTGAAGAAAGCCGAAATTAGGTCCCCTCAAAATATTATATCCCAAATCAAATTTCCCCAAATCCCGCCACTCCAAAATGTTTTGTATCTCAAAAAAAAAAAAAAAAAAAAAAAAAAAAAAAAAAAAAGTTTTATCCAATTATTCTCATCTCTATAGAACAAAAGTGCACAAAAAAAAAAAAAAAAAGATGAGTTAGCTGTGACGTTCGAAATTTTCACAAACATGAATAGTCAATGTGACCCGAAAGTTGACCCGATAACGAATCCGGAATGCGAAAGCGGAAAAAAAAAAAAAAAAAAAAAAAAAACAAGGTTCCTAGGGATAAACAGCATCCCAAGAACGCTAAAGTGACTTTCCATGAAGTCACGGAGTTCAAAAGAAAACAAAATGCGGAAGCGATAATTTAAAAACGAATAATTTTAGCCCTAGAGGCAAAACGGTAATTTTCATAAAGTTATGGGTGCTACCGAGCACACCATTGGATAAACAATGAAAATTTAATGAACTTAGACTTAAGAATTGCTTGATTCGGAGTCCGGACATAAGAGAAAAATCAAAACGAAGAATGGACGTCGTTGCAGTCGACGACGACGACACCCTGACATGCCCTATGCGCGCCCACACGCGCTAACATGTGTGCGCTGCCCCTGTACGCCGCGCTGCTAATGTCAAGGCTGACACCTAGGCACAAACATGAAAATGCTGAGAACGGTGGGGTTTTTGGACCCCGAAACGACGTTTTTTTAGAAAACACAAAGAAGAAACCCCCCTTATAATAATTTTTCCAAACTAACCATGTCGAAAGACAATTTTTTTTTTGAACTGAAATGCCCAAAATACCCCTGAGATCAATTTTGAAGAAAAATGTCAAAATGCAAGTTTGCTTCAAGTGTTCAAATGACAAATTATGAAGTTGTGAACTAAAACAATTGTACACGCAAGTGTAATAAGTGTTTTAAAATATACGGGAATGGTCCGTGACCCCCAAATATGCCCAATGCAAAATCCGACCTATTAAACCTAAAAAGTACATAAAAATGGAAAGTTTGAAGCCTACCATCAACCATAACATGCAACCATGATATTTTGTGCAAAGTAAACATTCTCGTAGACGTCATATGTATAATAAAATGTGTCTCAATGGTCCATGACCTCAAAATACACCATATCCAAAATATGACATGTCCAAACCCCAAAAATCTTGAAAATGCCCATTTTTAAGCAATTTGAGAAGTCAATCACCAAAGATGCATTCAAAAAACCATTTAGCTCTTGGTCACACGTCACAAATAATGACACTAAAGCTTCGCATTTTCCCATTTTTCACATATTAAAGCATATAACTAAGTAGAATAAAAGTAAAATATGAGGTCTTGGCCCTTGGCCTCATCACATACATGTCAAATAGGTCTCAAATGATGCATTTAGGTACTTATTACATATCCCAAATAGAAGTTACAAGTTTTGACATAATTGACCAAAGATAAGGCAAAATCATGCTAGTAAGTACAAGAAAAGGAGTACGCCAACTCATCAAGCCACAAGCAAGTTCAAGGATGTTGTACATCCCTAAAACATGGTTCTTTACCTGAAAATATCCAAAACAACGAGGGTGAGTAAACTAGTTACTCGTAGGAAATGAACATGCGTAAAACCTAAAGTTTTGGAAGTCTTTACAAATTTATATAAATCAATCCATGTGGTTAATGTCACCTAATGTCTATGTCCAAGGTGAAACTAAGGGATCATCCTAAACTATATTAGAAAATTTATATCATAAACCACGATAAATAAGTAATTAAATAACATTGAAACATCAAATACCAAATAGCAAAATATAAATTCATAAAGAAAATAATTTGGAATTGAAATGCGAAATCAAACAAATGGAAAGACTAGGACGTGGTCACAAGACCATGCAAGTTATTTTGGGTAATTACAACCCACAAGGAACTACCTAACGCGCACTTGTGACTACAAGAGACCTTGTCCTCATACTAGAGCTGAACCCTAGCCATCACATAAATTCTGTTCTTACAAGCTTTACAAAATCAACGAGTTGTGCACTACAAGAATATACACATATATTAAATGCACAAAATCAAATACTACACACAATCAAGATGTGGAAACACACAAGACATGCCCTAGGTCCTCAACTACCATGGCATGTAACATAATAGGCCTTGAAAACATCAAAGATGCAAATAAATCATTATTTCATTAAATGGAAACTAATTAAATAAAACTTAATTAATTTCTCTAGATAGCAAAATATCACCAAATGACATGAAATTAACACATAATAAGTAACATACCATGAATAACTCAAATATTAAATCAAAAGTCTAATTAAGTCGTTAAAACACTTAGTTAATTTTTAATTAATTTAATTAATCAAAAATCTTTAGATTTCAAAAGTCATCCAAAAATTCTAAAAATAATATATGATAAACAACAAGTCATGGGCTCCCCAAATATCATATTCTTAATTAAATCTAAGCATGCTTTAACTAAG